CCGGCTACAAAAACTTTTAAAATAATAAAAATTAGCCGAGTGTGATAGTGCATGCCTGTCTGTAGTCCCAGCTACTCAGGAGGCTGAGGTGGAAGGATTGCCTAAGCCCAGCAGGTCAAGGCTGCAGTGAGGTGTGATTGAACCAGTGCGCTCTTCTAGCTTGGGCAACAGAATGAGACTCTGACTCCAAAAAAAAAGAAAAGCCACAGACTTAACTGTAAAACCTTAAATTATAAAACTTCTGGAAGGCCAGGCTCGATGACTCAGCCTGTAATCCCAGCACTTTGGGAGGCTGAGGCAAGCGGATTCCCTGAGCCTGCGGCTTCAAGACCCACCCAGGCAACTTGGCGAGACCTTGTCTCTACAATTAAAAAAAAAAAAAAAAAATTAGCCAGGTGTGGTAGCATGCGCCTGTAGTTCTGGCTACTTGGAAGGCTAAGGCGGAAGGATCATCGGAGCCCAGTAGGTCAAGGCTGCAGTGGCTGGAAGCATGCTACTGCACTCTAGCCTGGGCGACAGAGTGAGACTCTAACTCAAAAACAAAAAAACAAACAACAAAAAAAACCATCTAGAAGAAAACATAGGAGAGAGACCTTGGTGACCATGGGATAGGCATTTTTAGCATGATCTTTAAAAGAAAATATCGATAAATTAGACTTCATCAATATTGAAAACGTGTGCTCTTTGAAAGATGCTGTTAAGGAAATGAAAAGCCAAGCCACTGGCAAAATTTTAAAAAATTGTTAAACACAAATCAGACAGGTTTTACATTCAGAACATGTGAAGAACTCTAAAAATTCAGTAATAGGAAAACAATCCTACTAAAAATGGTTTTTAAGAAATGTTTAAATTTACACTTGACCAAAGAAGATATATGATGGCAGTCAGCACCTGGAAAGATGCTCAATATTGGCCATTAGGGAAACAAATCCACATGGGGCACCACGCCTGGCCAAAAGGGTGAAGTAATGAAACCGACAGTACTGAGTAGTGTCCAAAGTGCAGAACAACTGGAACTCACACTGTTCTCTGCCCCCCTTGCACTAATGCTTAGGGGCATCCCTGATGTGAGGCTCCAAGAGGTGTGGTGAGGGGTGTGACTGGTGCAACTGGCAGATACATTGGGGTTCAAGGCCTTAGCTTCTGATCCCTGCTGACCTGCTCCACTTGCTGTCTCTGATGGAGATTTAGAAACTACTCTCAACCAGGCTCGGTTAGCTCAGCGTATAATCCCAGCACTTTGGGAAGCGAAGGCTAGTGGATTGCCAGAGCCCACAGGTTCGAGACCAGCCTGGGCAACTTGGTGAGACTTTGTCTCTACAATAAATTAAAAATTAGCCAGGTGTGGTAGCATGTGCCTGTAGTTCCAGCTACAGTGAGCACCTGACGAACCCTGGTGTGCACTCTCCCCAGGGCAGGATCTTCTTGCCTCAGCACTGTCGACATTTGGACCAGATATTGTGTGATGGGAGCTGTCCTTTGCAAAGTAGGACATTGAGCAGTGTCCTTGGCCCCCACCCACTAAATACACACTCCCCCAGGTGGTGACCACCAAAAGGATGGAAAGTCCCAGTATAGGCTGAGAAAGGCACAACAACTTGGACCTATCGCTTCTTAGCCTCAAGCTTGGCCAGACCTCAGCTTCATGCCTTTGCCCCCATTCTCCCAGCAGAGGTCCAGCCCTCCTACACCTGTGTATGTATGTGGGTGTGCACAGTGAGTGGGTGTGACTGGCAGGGCACCTATGGGACCCAGCACTGTGTGCACTGTGGTGAAGCCCATCCTCAGGTGTCCAAGCTCCCATCTGCATGTATGTGCCTGGGACTGTGTGTGATGGGGTAAGCTTTCCCTGCCAAGGCTTGTTGAGGATTGCTAGGATGAGCTTTGCTCATAGCTGCTGTTAGGGCTCATTTGTTAAAGGATACCTGAGTTGACCAGTCACTGTGAGTGATGGGTATTGAACTGCAGCTATTCCCTTCCCCCATGCAGCTACCAGTATGTCCTCTACCCAGTCCATCAGCAAGTCATGGCACGTCCCAGTCCCTCATGCACCCTGTGCTCTCACTTCTCCCCATCTATCACTACCCCCATCCAGGCCTCTATCATTTCAACCTCTGACACCACAGGTGCCTCCTCACTGGCTTCCCGACACCCCATGCTCCTTCCCTGCAACCTGTTCTCTCCATAGCAGCTGCCTCCATCTGTGAGACCCCTGCCCACCTGACCCTCCCCAGCTCCCTTGGTGACAGGGTAGCTGCCTCGCCTTCCCCTGGCTTATTCTTACGGGTAACTGAGCACCTTCCTTCAAAGAGCCTGAGGCCTCAGACAAAAAGAAAGCCTTCCTGCCTACCATTAGACAGGGCACGTGCCACCTTTTGCCTTTATCCCTTGCCCCTGCTTTGTTGTTTCCAGAGCACTGGATGTAATTGAAAATGCTACTTGGCCATGCGTGTTGGCTCATGCCTATAATCCCAGTGCTTTGGAAGGCCACGGTGAGAGGATTGTATGAGAAGAGTTCAAGACCAACCTGGGAAACATAGCAAGATCCTGTCTCTAAAAAAATTTTTTTTAATTAGCCAGGTGTGGTGGTTCATGCCTGTTAGTTACAGCTACTCAGGAGACGGGGGTGGATCACTTGAGGCCAGGAGTTAGAGGCTGCTATGAACCATGATTGTACCACTGCACTCTAGCCTGGGCAACAGATCGAGACTGTGTCTGTTTAAAAAAAAAAAAGAAAGAAAGAAAGGAAGAAAATGCTTCTCTACATTGTCTGTGTGACAGTGCCACGTGGCATGTGTGGTGAGGTCATGTCCTGGTGAGTAAGGAAGGTACAAGCGGTGGCCTTTGCACAACCCCTCACTAGAGAAGGGTGTTTGGCCTCAGTAGGAAGGTTGCTTCCTCACAGCACCTGGGCACACATGGCTAGAAATGCCAATCTTGGGACAGGGGACCCTGCTTCCTTACTCAAGTGGTAGGTGGGCATTTGCTCAACAGCCTTCCAAGGCCTAGTGGAGGGCACCCTGCAGGGGCTGGGTGTGGAGACTTTCCTCCTGACCTGGGATTTACTTTTCTGCTTTTAATGTTGTCACCATATTCTTGATTTTGAGTGACTTTATTTCACCATCTATCCTAAGAGATTGTTAAGTACAGCGAGTTGGGGAACAAATGTTCCTTGTCTATACAGTGGGCCTGGGAAGGAGGGCGGCAGCGTCTTCCAGCCCCCTTTTCAGAGTGGCTATTTCCTTCCGCCTCCTACTCCCCAACAGATGGCAACAGCCTGTTTGACTCCATGGCCAGTGGGATGCGTCTGGTTGTCAGCTGTATCTCCTCCTTCCTCATCCTGTCTCTGCTGCTCTTCATGGTTCACAGGCTGCGCCAAAGGCGCCGGGAGCGCATTGAGTCCCTGATTGGTGCAAACTGTGAGTGCCTGCTGTGGGACACAGTGATAGCCTCCAGCCCTCCTCTAGGTCTCCCTGTCCTAGGCTATGTCCCCCCAAGGCAGCATTTTCTTGGTGGGAGGGGTTGGCCCTTTCCCCATAGAAGAAGACTGCCTGGAGATGTCCCTTCCCACCCACACACCTGCTCCTGGCTTTCTTGGGAAGGCAGACACAGGCCCTTGACGAACTGTCTGTGGACTTTGAGATTAGAGATGGGACCTGGGCCCTGCATCCCCATGATGTGGGCTTTTCCTATGGCCTGGGCCTTGTGTGGGGACCACCTGCTGGAGGAGGAGGAGCAGAAGTCACCAGTGTCCATTAGGCAACTTAGAAAGTGTAGCTTGTTCTCCTCAGGCCAAGTGTACCAAGCCTAGCTAGAAGGCCCCTCTGCAACAGCCTGCACCCTTGAAATCACCCCTTGTCTCCTTGAGCTCCCCAGTCCCAGCACAGGCCCCATGTGGGCAGGTGGAGATGAGGGGTAGGGAACCTTGCCTGCTGCTGTTAGGGGCCCCTGGTACCTTCCAGGGCACCCAGGTTTGAAGGCCGCATGTGACTGGATCCTGGTTTTCCTCACTTGTGGGCCAGGAAAGTTCCTGCTGAGACCCTCTTTGTTCTCACCAAGCCTCAGGGTGGTCAGGACTCAGAGACTTCTGTGGGTTAGATACCCAGGAACATGTTACAGCTAGAGGGGTATGGGCAGTCCTGAGGCTGGGTCTGGCAGAAGTGTCAGGACAGAGGGATGGGTTGCATATGGGTGAGGGTGGGATACACTGTGGAGCAAGCCACGGGTGGAGGTTCAGGCCAGGTTGGGTATCTCATGGGCATGCCAAATGTGGCTGATGGGGGCAGTTAAGCACAGGTATGTGGCATTCAGGGATGGCAAGCCCAACCTCAGGGGCAGGATGGGGGGTCAGGAGCCAGGCAGCCTGCCTCCAAGTGACGCTGCTGTGTTTCCATTCCTTGTTTTTGATGGCCCAGTGCACCACTTCAACCTCGGCCGCAGGATCCCTGGCTTTGATTACGGCCCAGACAGGTTTGGCACGGGCCTCACGCCACTGCATCTTTCTGACGACGGAGAAGGCGGGACTTTCCACTTCCACGACCCTCCGCCTCCCTATACAGCTTACAAGTGCCCAGACATCGACCAGCCCGATGACCCACCACCACCCTACGAGGCTTCCATCAACCCAGACAGCATGTTCTATGACCCTGCAGGTGCCTTCACCCCAGAGAGAGGGAACACAAAGCAATCTGACTCTGGAGGGCTAGACTTCTTTGTAGTCTTCTCTGGCCTGCTCTTTGATATCCCCTTAAGGTTCTTCCCAGGGTGGCCTATGTGCAAAGGGTCCTGGTCTCTCTACCCTGGCCTCCTTCAGAGTATCTGTACAGAGAGCTCTGGGGAGGCCTGGTATCCCTCTTTTCTCCCATTAGCTGGGCAGCCCTCAGGCCCTCTGTGGTGAGCTGGAGAGCCGGGCACTGGTGATCGCAGGGATGGGGTTGACCAGACCCAACAGCCAGTCACTTGGCTGTAAAGACACATGAGCTGAAGCAACAGTAATAGTCCCTTGTGTCATGTTGAGAGGCAGCTCCAAGAAGTGGGAAGAATGTGCTGGTTCTCTGACGCTGGCTAGTTGCTTGAATTTATCACCCATCTAACATTGGAATGATTCCTCACAGGTCTGTATAGATAAGGTGGAGTGTCAGTTGCCACTCCCCCATCCTTTGCCTGTCCTGTCCCTGTCTCTGGTGTGCAGTAACACACACACTTGCAGTACAGCTGCAGGCAGTGCTATCCCCAGGCAGCTGGCATTCTGTGTACTCATGCACCTCAGCATAATGGGTATTGTGAGGCTGGCACTGCTGTGCTGAAAGGTCTTAGTCCTGTCTGTTCATTTAGTCAGATGATGCAGATTGTCACAGTCTGCCAGGGTAGGATGAGCTTTCTGCACGGGATGCTACTGGGTGACAGCGGGTCCCAGATGCCTCCATGGGGCAGGCCCAGGCTATGGGGAGTTAGCTAGGATTGTGGCGTATCACTGGGGCCTCACGCTGTCAGCTTCCAGAAACAACCTGCAGTTATGGGAGCAGGCGGAACAAGCACCACAGAGCTTCCCTTGGACCAGAGCTTTTTTGCAGATGTCTGTGTGGTTTTGAGGCTGCCCACTGTGACCCTGTGGCCTGTGCCCTGGTTGCCATGTTCTAGTCAACTCCTGAATGTCCTTCCACCACCTGAGCCCAGTAACTACCTAACAGCAAATGCTGCCACTGCCTTCCCTCCAAGGCTGCCACTGCCTTCCCTCCAAGCCCAGTTTTAACCTAAGATGGTTTTCTTACACTGGCCACCTTGGTTCTGGTGACTGTCAGTGTGTTGTGATGGCAGGACAGACCTGTGTCTGCTGTCCAGGCTGTGCCCTGTACCTTGTACATACTGGGTGCCTGGCCATGGGGTGGTGTGTACAATAGGGTCTCTGTGGGGCAGGCTTCCCCTTCAGAATCAGACCTAGGAGGACTACCAGATCCTTCTGACCACCCAGGAATAGTGGGGATGTTCAGGCAGGAGGAATATCCACTGGTTCTGTTCAGTCCCCCTGCATCTCCTGTACTAGACCTGTACCTGCCTCTGATACCCCTCTGTCTTCTCTTACAGATGATGATGCATTTGAGCCCGCAGAGGCCAGCCCATCAATCCCAGGGGATGGTGGCAGTGAAGGCATGCTGCACCGGCGCCTGGAGCAGCCTTTGCCTGCTGTGGGGGCCTCTCTGGCAGACCTGGAAGATTCCTCTGACAGCAGCAGTGCCCTGCTTGTGCCCCCCGACCCTGCCCAGAGTGGGAGTGCCCCAGCCACAGAGGCCCTACCAGGGGGCAGCCACCACAACCACAGCTCCCTCAACACCGTGGTATAGACGGTCCAGCTCATGCCCCAACAGGCTGGGAGCACCTGTCAGCTGTTAAAAACACTGGTCTTCGTGGGAGACTTGAATGGCGCCTGCCTCAGCCTGGACCTGCCCACTGCCACATACCCACCTGGCACACGTGTGTACATAGAGACTGTGGCTGCCTCCTGCTGAGAAGAGCAAACGCCTGCACTAAGTTTCCTTGAGGGCTTCAAAACCATGCATAGCTTTGAGTCACTGTCTCCTCCTTTTTAAATGACAGAAGAGTGACAAAGTTTGTTCAGACCACGTGTTTAGAAGCAGGGAACAAGAAGGTACTGTGGGCTATGGCCAAACCCAGCATGTCTTTGGTTGGCTTGCTCGCTGGCAGTGTGCTGTCCAGAGATGTATGCTGACCAGTTGCCAAGCCACAGGCAGGTGGCACAAAGGCTGCCACCATGTGCCTCACTGGACACCCAGCAGGGCTCTCCTGGACTGTCAGCGTGGTATAGGCAGTGAATCTGCTTCAGGAGATGACCTCTGAGGTTGCTGCAGTGGCTGCTCCCCACAGGCCAGGCTGTGAACACTGAGGTGACCCTGGCCTGGACTGGGCTCACCTGGGGCTCTGGTACCTGAGGTTCTGAGAGAGAGCTTGGGAGGAGGTTGCACTCTGCTCTGTTGTTCCACCTGGGCTCTGGCTGGAGGTGCAGCTCCACCCTAAGGTCCCTCCCGACATTGCTGTGCATGGCTCCCCAGGAGGAAGCTCTGGAGTGGGGCTGAGGCCCTGGACACTTGGCACTTGGGGTCTTCTGTCTCTCCACTCTGGAGCCCTGGGCACCCCCTCCCACAACCTCCTGTTGAATGCCCCTGGACCCAGCCCTCCCCCCACCTTATTTGTGCCATAAAGGGTGGTTCCTCTGCGGGGAGTGGCTGACACCATCCTGAGCTACATCCATCTCCTGAAAGTCCACATGCACACCGCACCCTGCTGTAGCCCAGCACCAGTGGCTGCATGTACACCTCCCCACTCCTCAGCAGCTCTGGGTGCTGGGCCTGGGGGCCTTGTGCTGAGGGACCCTGTGTTGCCTGCCCCTGGGCAGTGGTCTGACACAGGGCCTGGACCATTTCTGAGGTTTGGAGATGAAGCAGGTTCTGTGCGATTTTTAGCACATCCATATCTTTTCTATGTTGAATGTCTGGGTCTTCCCTTTTGTACATGTGCGTCTGTGTGTACATACGTGGCCAAGCGTTTGCAGGTGATGGTGGCAATGGGAACTTGGTGGAGTAGGGACTGTTCTTCCAGGTTGCTATGTATCTTGGACTGTGCTGAGGCAGGGCTGTGTCTCACTCGCAGTCTTTTCAGACTAGTGAGAACAGTGATAGGGAGGACCAGCTGCAGTTGTTCTGTGGTACTGTGTGGTGACAGGCCCCGTGTACGGTCCACTTCTAGGCATGCTCTACTGGAAATCCATCCCATGTGGAATGACAATCTTGAGTTGCCCATAGACTTGACCTTCATACTAGAGCTGGCCTGAGCTGGGAATTTTGTCACTGAACTACCTGTCCCTGGCTTGGCCTGCTGGAGGCCACTCTGCCTTTGCTGAAGGGCTGCCACTTCTTAAGAATTGAGTCTTGGCCACGAGGGCTCCACATCAACTGCTGAGGACAAAATAGGAAGCCTGTTATGCCTTCAGTGTGCGCTGGGATTGGGCAACCAGGTTCCAGAGTAGCGGTCAAAAGTCCTGTGGGTATCAGGCAACCAGCAAGAGGACTTGAGGACCACCCAGCAGAGCCCCACAGGGGTAGAGGCCTGACAGCTCACAGATTTCTGCCTGGCCTCAACCATGTGTATGGGCCAGGGTGGCAGGCGCAACATATGTGGTACTGGGAGGCTTCCTTGGGGGACTGAAGGACTGTTGGGGCCAGTCAGGGATATAGGAGACTGTGAGGAAGAGGCACCCAAAGCAGACCACGGGGGCTGCAGAGGGTGGGCTTACTTCTGGACTGGCCAGGGTCCAGTCTAGGGGTGCTCTGTCTCAGGTTGCTGGGTGGCTCCCTTCACCTCATCAGATCTGCCCATGTGCTCAGACTGCTGCCTGCTGCAGCTCCAGAGCCAAGTTTTTCTGAGGCATTGTGAGGGGAGCGAGGAGAGAGCTGAGGTCTGCCCGTCTACCCTCACCCTGCCGTATAGAATGCCACCCTCTGCAAGACCTGATGGTACCCCACAGTCTGATTGGCAAAGGATCCCAAGATCAGCCCATGCTGAGACTTTTGCTCCTGTGAGAGCTGCCCCTGCCCCAAGCACACTGGGTACCAGAGGGACAGACCGAGCTCCAAGGATGGACCTCCTCCACCAGGACCACCTTGCCACTGTTTCTGAGAGCCTGGGTGCCCTCTGACCAACTTGCAGAGGTAGAATTTGATACTGTATATTGTCTCAATGCCTGTTTTTTTATGTTTTCCTTCACTAAGGGTTTTTAGTTTGGGTTTATTTTTGTTTAGGTTGGCACTAATCCTTTTCTTAAGATGCTGTGAGAACCATTTCATCCAAATGCCAAATAAACTTGTGTTCTGGAAGAGACGTGGTCAGTCCTTAGTGTGATACATACCCAAGCTGCCACAGGGAGTGGTGGGTACCCACCTTTCAGCAGGTCTCTCCTAGGTCCTACAGCCCTCAGAGGTGTCCAGCAAGCCACCCGAGAACCCTTGGCCTGAGGACCAGGTAAAGCTGAGCCTGGAGCCCCTGGTGGGATATACAGGGAGAGCAGTGTCCCTGAGCTGGCTGTGGCTGTGTCTTGTCCCTCTGGCACCCAAACCCTTCCTAGGGCATTGGCTACTGCTTCAGCAAATGTTGCTGACCTGGGCGGGGTCTGCATAGACACGGGGCTGCCTGGCATCCTCTGATGGAAACCATTGGAAGAAGTGGCAGGGCAGGGCTTGGAACTTGGCCCCCGGCCCTATCGTCCTCCTCTAAGTTCCCCTCACCACCCATGTGGCTGAAAGCAGCCCCTCCCTGCAGTCCAAGCCACCTGGTATTCCCAAGCCACCCTGGCCCCTGGGGCCTCTTCAGTCCTGTCCAGCGTGAGCTGTGCATGTGTGTGTAATGAGGAAGGTGTTCTTGCAGTTTCGGCAGGCTTGGGAGTCATGTGTTCTGCAAAATGGGCAGGACCATCTCCTTTGACTTTTTTTTTTTTTTGTGAGTTGGAGTCTCACTCTCTCCCAGGCTGGATTGCAATGGCACGCACACAGCCACCGCAGCCTCGACCTGCTGGGCTCAGGTGATCCTTCCACCTCAGCCTTCCAAGTAGCTGGAACTACAGGTCCTTTGACTTTTTTAGTGAGGCTTGAGCTGAGTGTCCCGCCGGGCTGGACCGGGCATGCCAGTCTCAGAGTGGGGGACAGGAGACCCAGGTGAGTTGGGAGTGAGAAGGGTGGATGGAGGAACTATACCATCTGTGGAAGCCAGGGGCAGAGATCCTACTGTGTCCTTTGTTCTCTGACAATAGGGCTTTCAGTAAATTTCCAACTTGTGATACTTGGACGAGAGGGCACCTGGGTTACTCAACCCCATTGGGAGGGAGGGAGTCCTAACCCAGCCTCTTTGGCCTGGCCGCGGAAATGTATTCAGCCTGCCACTGCGGCTGGGGTCAGGGTTAGAAAAGGAACTGGTGAACCCCTTGAGAGGTATGGAAGCTTGAAGGAGGTAGTTCCTCTTTCCTGAGCACATCTACAGGAGCAGGGGGCCAATCTTGGGCACCTGGTTTGCCATCAACACCGCTGACGGCACCCCCTTACCCTCTCCTTTTGTAGGGGCCACCTCCTATGCGGGAAGAGCCCCATCTGGCAATTGGAAAGAGGTACAGGTGTAGAGGTGTCCCCTTTCATCCCCCATGCAGGGCTCCATCTCGGCCCAGATCTGCAGGGGGCCATGTAGGAGGGAGACTGTGATCTTGGGATGGGGGTGAGGAGTCCCAGGCCCACAATGGGGCAAGAGACATCCCCTCAACACCCTCTTCCCATCTTTGTCCTGCAAGTCAAGAGCGCTGCCTTTATCCTGGTGGCTTCACATGTCACTCTGGTCCCAACCTGTTTCCTCGACTGTAAGTGATACTAATGACAGGATGCCCCCTTTCTGCAGGATTAACGGTAGCAATGTTTGCTGCTGCAGATGCAGTCCAGAGATGGGAGCGTCGGGTGAGTTTGGAGCTCTCTCTCTCCCTGGTGTCCTTCACTGCACGCTGCCACTCTGCAGTGGTAGACCTTGAGCCATAGAGCTTAACCACGCCCCCTCCCACTCCCTAATGAATATGCAGCAGCCCGGCCCTACAGTCTCCAGCCATTTTCTAGTCTTCCTGAGCTGTAGCTGCTGCACTGTGCACCAGCATGGTGCTGGTCTTCCCTGGGCACAGCTGGGAGTGCAGCAGACTCTGAGGGTGAGTGCCAGGACTCTGTCCATCTGGTCTGGAATCTCCCTCTCTTGCCACTCTCCACGCCCCCCGGGTCTCATCACGGCAGGATGACTTAGGAGGAGATACTGGGGCTAGGGTGACTGGAGAGCAGGCTCTTCGTTGGTCTCCCTAGTCTAAGCGCTGCCTCCATTCTTGGACCCTGACTGGGATGGGGTCTTGGAGAGGGTCCAGATGACTGGTCTCTCAGCTCAGTGCCCTCCCCACTGTCTACAGGTCCATAGTGCTATGACTTCCAGGACCCAAACAGTGGTGAGGACAGCATTGTGTGAGGTATCTGTGCCCTAGAGCCACCAGAGTGTATGCTGGTGCAATAGTGGCTAAGAGGCAGTCTGCACACTGTGCTCTGTGGGCTGTAGTCCTGTGCCCCAGCGACTGGGCACCGGGCAACTTGTGTGTGACTGTCCCTCTGTATGTGCAACCAGGGCTGCTGTGATCAGTCCTCCTTGTGTCAGTCAGGGTCTGTAGCCTGTCGGCGTGGCCAGCCCAAGCATGTGCTTGTGGTAGAGGTTCCCAGTGTGGGTGTGCAACCCTGTGCCAAGAGATCCTTCCACCCTCACCTCCTCATGGGGCAGTTGCCTGAAGAGTAGATGGCTAGGTCGGGTGCAGGTTGGGAGGGAAAAGGGCACTGGGACCTATTCAGGTGTGGGGCAGCCAGGAGTAGTTACCTGAGACTAGGATATTTTCTGGGTATGTGGAGCTGTCCTCCTCTGTGCACCCCAGGCTGCCTCCCTGACTCCTCCCAGAAATTCCAGACCTAGCCGGGCTTGGTGTCTCAGCCTATAATCCCGTGCCTTTGGGAGGCTGAGGTGAGTGGATTGCCTGAGCCGGCGGGTTCGAGAC